GCTATCCTCAGGCTTCAATAATTCCCTAGAAATAGACCACATTATGTGATATTGGCGCACCTGCTTCCTGGGAGCTGAATGTGGAAGGCTTTTACCCTCCTATTTACTGCTCTTTTAGAAGATAATCGTAACTGGGGTTTTGTAACATATGCCAACTTGCCCAGCCCTGCTCTAAATCACATTATCAAACCTTTCACCAGAGCTATGCATTCCACGGTTTTATATTAAAATCTGTAGCCCATAGCACAGGTGCCTAAGAAAACGTGGATTTTTAATGGTGCTCAAAGACTTGGGAGCAGACACAAAAACACAATGATCAAGAGAGAGAGATGGATGAGAAACAGTGCCAGCCAGCTACAGACTGCCTCCCCCACTTTCCCACTGGATAGCGTGTTTCCACTCAGAGCTCCGTTTCTTCATGCACTATGGCAGGATTGCGTAAGTTTTAAAACACAGCTTTACCCATAGCTTGTGGGAACAAAATCACATAAAATTTACTTGCCCTGGCTCCCTGAAAGGTTGCTAAACATGAGCTTATCTTACAGAGCTCAACACCTGGAGGTGGTTTCAGTGCTTTCTTGTATTTTGGATTTTGTATAAACTATACAGGTAATAGAATATTGATACAGTACAGTTGGTTGCTTTTAAATTCTTAAGATGTTATAGCTTTAAATTACAATACCTATTAAAATGGTATTAGTTGGTAACAGTAGTTTTAACTTGCAAGATAAATTGTTTTGCTAGTGCTACAGTTACAATTTTCTGTAGTACTCTAAGACCTGATAAAGATCACAGAAAACGGCAGGGTTTGGCTGCTGCTGAATAATGCTAATGCTGATTACTGTTGATAATATTATTACACAGTATTAGGTTACATCTTCAAAATAGGTATTAATCAAAATACTGGACTTCCTGTGAATTTGCTACATCAGAACCAGCATCATGTAGAAATGTAATTTAAACACAAGCAAGATAGTGCTTCAATTAGTAGTGTTTTGGTTAAAGAAATGGCCTAGGAAATCTAAAATAATTACCAGTCATGCCCATCTGTGTTTTTAATCTAAGATGTACTGGAAAAAGTATTTTAAATGTGGAAATTTAAACTCAGCTATTTCAATAACCATTGCCTGGAGCACAATTCCTAAGATGGACCTCACTTCCCTGAGATGTCTGCTTATTCCTAGATACTCTTTTGCTTTTATGATACAGACCACTTAAAACTTTCAGCAGTTGATATATTGAAAATGTCAATATCTTTTTACACAAGGCCAAAAATTATTTAAAATTCCTACTATACCATGTGTGTATCTCCATTCATTTGTAAGATAACTGGGTAACACTTCTCCACTATTTAATCCTGAAGCAATCCTGAATTGCTGCTGGAACAATAAAGCTAAAAATAGGCTGAAAAATAATGCTGAAAAATAAGGGTAAGTCATGAAGCATGCGACTACACTCAGCTGTTCTGCACTGGGAATAGTGCCTGCCTGTCCTTCAGATCAGAGGCCTGTGCTCTGCTACGGGAACAGGCTAAATATTGCAGGCAGTTTTGGAAGGGAAATAGGTTCTCATCCCTCAATCTCTTGCTTTTCAAGCAACAGAGCTAAGATTAAAAAGGTGGTCAGGATTTTTCTGATTAGTCTTCTTTACTGACTGTCTACAGAAGTGCATTGACTGTCTTTCATATAGCTTGGCTACCCCAAGACTGTAAGGAGATAGATGAGAAACACTTTCTTGTATACACATTCAAATCTGATACACACAGAAAAACAGGGCCTTCCGAAAGGTATTGAGGACTTTCCTAATGCACTCAAATACAAGTCAGATTGGGTAAAAGAAAGGAATGCTTAAACCCTATGTCTTTACACCTCTTTTTTCTGCCATGAACCATGAAGAATGATCCAAACATTACAGGTCTCCCTAAGCCTGTACAAGAAGCTTCCATATTAAACTAACATTCGTAACAATAATTTCTCCTTCAACCAACATTAGATAAAGAAATATCCTGCCCTCCCCAAAGAACTGTAAGACTCAGGTAAGTACTTCTGATAGAAGTAAAATGTTAAATAGTTAAGCTGAACATTGTAGAATTTGAAACCAAATCTGTCTGATTTTATTTAAGAAATTACCTTACCCTTAAAGATACAGTTTCAAAAAGATTTCTCCCTTTTGCAAGAAATGTGTTTCTCTGACTTTAAAGCATTAACTATGATCATCCAAAACAATTTTTAAAAAGGTTTCCTTCTAATACATCTTTTCAGTCATAAGAATGTTTGTTTTTTTTTAAATTTTGAAGTATCAAATGGGCAATTCAGAAGAAAAAAATATTTTTTTTGTTTATGTTTAGTTGCTTATATAAAATTACTGTGCCTAAGCACTGGTTCAAGCCAAGCTTTTGTGGGATTGATAGAATAGCAGCAAACAACACAGATGCTGATGGCCTCTGCCTAGGGATCTGAGTTCAGAACTGAAATAGAAATGCAGTTACCTCACTAGTGGTAAGTTGCCCCATTAATAGGGCACTGAAACAGTATTTAGATTACATTTCCTCTAGGCATTACTGACAATCTGTTCAGTCTTTTATTTACCTCAGAATATCCTCCAAGTTATTTGCAGAAACTTGTTTATTTTCTTATTTTTATAGAAATGCCTCTTTCTTGACTCTATGTTGCAGAATTTTTAGCTGAAGACTTTTATGTATCCCTTCTAGCATTTTTTTTTTTAATGTAACCACAGAGGCTGTGAAAGGCTTTATGCCATAACTGCAACCAACAACTACAGTTAAGTAACAGTAAGGCTGCACTTACTTAATACCATGTACCTCTTCTGCACTGCCACTGGCATTGCCTGCACTAAAGCAGTACTCTAAGGAAAGACCTTCCATCACTCTCAAGTCCAGCTGTCACTCCTGGGTGGAACTATCCTATTAACAGACTAATTTTTCTACACAATTTTTTACTTCATTTCAAATATTCTTTTAAAAATTGTATGGCTTCTGTAAATGTTTTTATTTGTTCAAATATTAACTTCAACTTTGGACATGACTATGTTGAGAGTTGCTTCAGTTCTGTTAGAACCCCTCTGGAACTAAACCAGCCTTGTTACATATGCCCTTTAGCCATCAAAGTGACAATTAAAAACCTTTTTGTGAAACATATTGGGATGTATTTCCAAATTGTATCATACGCAATGCAGCTGTGGAGTATTGAGAAGTGCATTCTACCTTTTAAATAATTCTGTAAACTTTTAAAGACCATTAAAGCTTACAGCACACACCTAAGACCTCAAACTGGTTTTGTTCTACCTGATGCAGGAAAATACCACAGTACCTCTGTCACTGCTGTACAGTGCAAATGTTTGGTAAGTACTTAATTTTTGTATAAAGAACACTATATAACAGGTGTTCAGCCATAATGTATTTATTATGGCTTTGAACTCTATGCATAGTGTAAATAATGTATAGCGATTTATTAAAGAGTAATGGTGAAGCAATCTGTGCTGCTGTAGGTAACAGGGGAACTTGTCCCTGAAGCACACAGTTCTTAACAATCTCTTGAAGACCAACGTCACTCATGTTCTCATTTTCAAAAGAAGGATAAGCATTGTAACAGTTTCTGGTTTCACACTTTATTTCAAAAACAGGACGTTTACTTTCCCAAAGCTGGAAGGTACGACTTCTTCCTAAAGGCAACAAAAAACATTATCTGCAGCTGATACCCAGCCATTGGTTTTAGATTTCAAAAACCCTGCAGCAAACACTTCTGTTCTGTGGTAAGTTCATGATACAATTATGAGACACCTTAGGGGTGTCTGAAGATAGCAAATATTTTTTTTTGTGACAAACATGATTATTTTTCTGCTTCTCCAACATCTTGGGGATCTGAAGTTGCAGTAATTAGTCAGCTTCACTAAGTACAAATGTGTTTTTATATCTAAAATGTATGACGGTATTTTAGTTCTTTTTCTTTCTCAGTTGAAGGTGAGATGCTGCACCAAACAAAAAAATACAATGTAGCCAATGTTGATACATACCAGTATCAGTGCAGGTCCAAATTTACACTGTATACAGAAACAGTACAATTTCATATTCCTTGAGCTAATGGAGAAAATTCTCTATCTCAAAGCAAAACCATACACCAGATTTTCAAACACCCAGCAAGCTCACTGAGGACCCGTTATATCCACTTCTCAATGTGTATTCCACCTATACCCAATAGCGTGCTTCTACTTGCTAATTCAGTGTTTATACTTTTTGGTGTAATAGCTGTTGCTTTTACAGAGCTAATTCAGTAATACTAGGTGCTGTGTGTTTATTGTGTATTTATCTATTATGTGTTTATTTCTACGATTAGGTTGGATCCAAAGAGGTATTATTTCTGAGAGCTCTTTTGGTCATAGATCCTTAAAAGCAAACTGGAAAGCTGTGAGTTTTAAACCTTTTTAAATAACAGTATTTAACAGAGAACCAAATAAACCTCTATTCAAAGGGGACGTATGTATTTTCATTCCAGAAAAACTCTGGTTAGTAAAGAGCATGTACACCACTGTGGAAGGTGCCACAGATGAACTTCATGGCTTTCCTGAGCAAAGGCAGGCAGCTGAGTACTAAAGACCAGAGCTTCAAAGTATTAACTACCTGCACTATGAGATTTTACTACTACACAACATTCCTTGATACTAAAATTCTTTGTGCTTTTCCATGCACCTTTATTAATATGATGTTGATTATGAGCTCTAAAAATTACCATTTCTCTCCACAATATCCCCCGTATGTTCTTAACTCCTGAAACCACCAAGAAGGTTGGAAGCAGCATATGCTTTATGGTTTTTGCCTTTTAATTTTTATCTTTTTCTCAACTTGCCTTATTATTTTAAGGTAACTTGTAGAATTCTCATATCTTTCAGACTTCTGCCTCTTCATGAATTTTGGATTAAATTGTACCTGAAAGATACTTAGGGTGCCTAGAGTTATTTTAAAAAACAAGACTACAAGTACTCACATTTTTTCACTGTGATTTCCATCACAACTGTCTTTCATCAAAACAGCATGGTTTATCTTGAATTCAAAAGGAATCATTAATGTACTATAAATGGCAGCAGCAAATTTGCCAGTAATGATAGCAGTATGTCTGTGGAAAGGAAGAAGTACAAGAAGTAATCTACTTGAGGGGCTGGTGGCTCCTATGAGCTTCTAAGGCTTTCTTTGAGATTACCACTATGAATTGTGAATCCTCAGATAAACAAAGCCCTGGTCCAAATGACTGAAGAACAGACCTACTTCATAAAATTCTGATCATCGCTGCCAATTATTTTCTCCTTTAATACAATTTTGCCACTGTCTTTTACATTTATAGTGTGGGAGGGCCCTGTTACCTTCTCAGCCTCTAATCTTATTTCCAGGTTAAATAGTATAGACGCTGCTTTATTCATAGAGTTATGGCAGGAAGAGACGTGAGTAATGTTTAAAATGTCTGGACTTAAACACACGTTTATCAGTGTAGAACATCTAAACCCCCAGTGTAATTTTCAATGTATTTTAAAGGGCTAAGGCAGATCTGTCTTTACAGATTACTGAGTACCAAATGCTGGCAGAAATTCACCTTCTCCTGGTGGTATCCTGCTTCCTCTAGTTGCATGCTGGTGGCTCATAATGCAGCACACTGCAAAGGAGAGTTTCATGTTATTGCCACTTAAGATTTTATTCCCTAACCCTATTTTTAATGACAACAAATGAAACACTACAAAGTCCCATTTTCATTTACAAACGGTGTCTCATTGACTTTACTTTCAAGTGTGTATATTTTACCTCAAAGCAAACTCGTGTAAAACACTGCTTAAGGGATGGAAGGCTCTTTGTACCATCATCAAAAGCAGGAAGACAAACTACTTTTGCCTACGTGCTATAGAACTACTTACTGCAACGATTCCTGGGTACAAATCACTTCAAAGCATCCTGAATGCTTTGATGAATCCCTCTGGTGAGCCTGGTTTCCCTTCACCTCAGATGATCCTATTACCCTCCTCTCCCCATAATAGCATAAATGCTTGCATAAAATCAGCTCTCAGGGGCTCATGCACGGCTTTACTTCAGCCTGAAGGCGGTCTACTTGCGCCCCCACTAAGGCACTCGTGAAGTGTCGCGTGCCCAACACCTACACTACGCCCGGACTTACACCGAGCAGCGGGCTATAGGGCGGGGTAAAAGGCGGAGCAAAAGCCAGGCCCCGCGGTGGACACAACATCTCGCCCCAGCTGCAAGATGGCGACTGCCCAGCCCCACCCTCCGCCCGCCCGTCTTGACCAAGATGGCGCACGGACCCCACTCCCTCGCGTAACGGCCCCTCCGCACGCGGCAGCCTGAGCACGAGCCCAACCGCCAACCTGGTCCCGCCTCGCGCAGTCGCAGGCCTCAACGTAAGCAGTGTGCGCCGCCGCCTGCCGCCGCTCGCAGGGGTGGGCGCGCCTGCGCAGTGGGGGCGCGTTCGGTGCGGGAGGTTCGGAGGGGCTGGCCATGGCTCCGATGAGGCGCCGTTCAGGTACCGCGGCCAGCGGCAGAACGGGCCCGGGTGGGGCGCTGAGACCTTGGCCGCCTCCCCGGAGCAGGCCCTGGTGGCGCCTGGGGTGGGGAGCAGCACGGCGGGCGCGGGCCCGCGGTCAGGCCCGCATTGTTGGCCGAGGGCGGCGGGAGGAGGAGGGGCAGGCGGCGGCGGCCTCGCCGCGGCGGGGGGTGGGGCAGGTGGCCTGCCGCCGCTGCGCTGGGCCGGGAGTAAGGGCCGGTGCTCGCCTCCTCCCCTTTTCGTTTCTCCCGTGCTGTGTTTTCCGCGGCTGCGGCTTCGCGATGAGTTTTGGAGGCCACTCGCGAAAAAAAGGGGGAAAAAAAGCCAAACCCAACCCCTAAAACGGGGGGAGAATAGCGGTGCTGAGGGGGTAGAGTCGTTTTTAAAAAACCATGGTGGCGGGGCAGGGAGGGAGGCCAGCGGCGGAGCCCGAGATCGGCCCTGCCATATTCGCGTGGTTTAACTTGCCCTTGTTCGGGGGAGGGAAGCCGAAAGCGTGCGCTATGGCTCTGCCGGCAGCGCTTCCCGGTGGCCGCCGAGCAGTATCAGTGAACGGGAAATAATAATGAAAACTCTTCGTTCTGCAGAGTCACTTTTCCCTTAGGCTTCGGTGGAAACTTCAATAGTTTTTTGCGTTTAAGTAGTGGTAATCCCATTGTTAAGAAGGGGAGGGTGGAGATCGTGCCTTAGGAAAATAGAGCAACTTGTCTTGCAACTTTCTGTATTTCCCACTTTTGATGTGTGTTGCCCACCAGGTTTAGGGGTGTAAAGATAATGTCTCAACTTTTTTTTTTTTTTTTTTGACCCAGAATTACAATAGACTGATGGTGTATGCGTCAAAGACTGTAGCTGCGCTTTATTTTAATAGATAGCAGTTATAGAAGATAGACACCCAGGAGATTTTGCCTTTCGCCATGGCTCAGTTTGGAGGACAGAAGAATCCCCCGTGGGCTACTCAGTTTACAGCCACTGCAGTATCTCAGCCAGGTCAGTTTACGTATCACTTAATGTTTGAACCTTGACATCTAGTAGATTTGGAGATTCTCTAGTTGGGTATGCAGTTAAAGAGTGGCACCATGCTCTCTAATTTACTTAAATGGTTTAAGCTGGAAGCTTTTTGCACAATAGAAGCATTAAAGATTATTGTCTAATACTATATGCTGGGTTTGTGGAGCTTTTGTGTTGGTTTTTTGTTTGTTTGGTTTGTTTTTTGTAAGGGGTGATAAGTAAAATCCCAGGTGAATTTTTATTGATTCTCTTGGTCAGTAAACAGCATATCAAGTTACTCATGTCCAAAGATGTAGATCTAATTGCATTGCTCTAGATTAAGTATAGCACTTATATATATATATATATACTTATATATAATAGCACTAATAAAGCATTAAGAATTTTTTTAAGTGCTGCCTGAATTGCATTTCCATGGCAACCTAAGCCACTATTTACAAAATATTTTGTCTTTATTAATAGATTGGACGTACTTCACTTAGAGAAGAGGTCTCTGAAATTTGTTACTTGACTGGGTGGCGGATATATTTTCTTTCTAAATGCCAAATTAAAACTTAAGGATCCATATAACCAAATGTATCACCCTATTAATGATAGAGGGTTTCTTTTTGAATTGGCTAAGAAGACTTATCACAGGTATTAAAAAAACTAGCTGACTAGGTTTCCATGTTTCACATTGGTTTATAGCATAAAAAGTTTTGAAGCGAGAACGTGAAGCTTGCTGCGTGGTGAATTTTGGTGCTTCCATTTTCAGTTCCGGGATACATTTTTCTCTTACTGAATACAAATGTTTCCTAAATACTGTAGCTTCATTGTCTGATGTGAGAAAGTTTTAACAGGGCTGTGGTACTTTGAGGATTCAGGATGCCAGAATGTGAGCACAGGCAGTAACCTTGTTGAAGAGATGTCTTTAGAAAGAATTGTTTGGTTTTTGCGATTGTCATTTGCGCCTTGCTCTAATTTGATACGAAGTTGAAATTTGTCATACTTCTCTTGTAAGTGGTTTTATGTCTGGGAGCTTAGCAAAAGTTGGGAATGCCTGCCATTCTTTGGAAGTGCATGATTTGGGGGTGGGGAGAATAAATCTTTCTCCTGACCCAGTTTTTTTTTTTTTTCCCAAAATGACTTTTCCATCTCCAGTTTTTTCCTTTGGGCACTGGTCCAATTGTAGTGCATGCCCTCGGGGAACTGCTGCCACCCCACTCTTCCCCCCGTACTTGGACCCAGTGTGCCTTTTTCTCCATGCCCATTCTGTCCCACTCTCTACTTAAACTGTTATTGTACCTAACCAGCTGCCTACAAACATTTTTTCACTGCTTCTCTGAAGAGCTTAAACTTCTTTTATCCAAAAGGCAGTACTCTCCTTCTCTAATGAACTGCTTAAGAGAAGAAGGGGCTGGTATTGGGAAATGGGGGAGACAAGCTTAGCTTTTGGTTCTTGTGTCTGAGCAATCAAAGGATGGTATCATCTGGGCTTCATACATTGGGTAATGTGACAGCTAATCCATCAAAAACATTGGTGGAAGACTGAGGGCCAGCTCCCTGTCTTGTTTCAGAAGGAAAGCCGCAGAAAATCCGCAGACAGGGAGGAACTGTCAGCCATCTTAGACTTTGCTGAGCTAGGACCAGAAGGGGGCCCTGGAGAAGAGGTGGCTGGAGCAAGGGCACTAGAAGCATACATAAACTTCTTATCCATTTTCTTATTTCTATGACTCTGCCTTCTGTCAGGCTACTTCTAAGACTCCTTACATTAAATGAAGTGCAAAATCTAATTGGACTAGGACTGCTCAGCATCAGCGGCTGTGAGAGATTTTTCACTTGTCCGCACTTCAGTGAAGACAGTATCTCCTTAGTAGGAGTTTTTAGCTGTTTATTTGATCTGGAAGCACTTGATTCAAACATGAGAGCCATGAAAGATGGACATTTGACTACATTTTTGCCTTCTTCCTGTGCTAGTTCCACTATCTTTCATCTTCCTAGTGACCTTCACACTGTAGTATATTCTCTCTAGCATCACTTGAAAGCATTTAGCTCCTTGTGTCCTTTGAAGTCCTTTCTTATTCCTACTGTGTTACACAGTCATCATGCCTGCCTGTGTCCTCTTTCTTCCCTGTCTGTACTATTGAATCCAGTCCCTGGGGTTCTACTGGCTAGCTCCTGTTTTAGTACCAGTGTACATACTTGTCCTCCGGCTTTTTATTGGCAATTATGATTTATAATGATTTATAATACAGAGCACAGGAAACTTGTTTTGCAAAGTAAGCAATGCTCTTCAGCACTGCTGAGAGCTGAAGGACAGTGTTTAACTACTGAACTGCAGCTGAGTAGTCACCTTTCATGCACCCTCCACCATTGAAGTATGAATGTACAGCTAGGTGGTTTGCCTGATGAACAGAGATGTGGTCAGTGCTCAGGCATGCTGTCTAGCATGTACTGCTTCTCACCTGCACTCAAGAAGTTGTGCAGATCAGCTTATCCATTTGAGTTTCAGCATTCATAAACTGATTTTTAAAAAACTATGTTTACCAATTTTTTATGTATTTTTAGAGGATTGGTAAAAGGTGTTACATACTAGCTGTTT